TTCAATTTTTGCGTCGTGGCACCTAGGGGTATTTTTTTTAAGCTCAGTATCAACTGATTTGAGTTGTCAACATTACGAACTAATGGTTTACCAAGAACTGGCAATGTAAACATCATCGTTCTTGGAAAATTGAGAGCCCAAGTTACAAACAGTGTCAAATTTTTAACGTCGCAAAATCGGAGGCTGGAAAGTTTGCTCTGTTGAAAAAGTTTTAGTTATCCTGGCCAGGAAGGTAGGTTATACTTTATAAGTCTTATCAATTGAGGTTACAAATCATGCATAATTTTTTGTTTTTAATTATTATAATGTTATTTAATAATTAATTAAAAAATGCACCCTGGGGTGACTTATAACAGAGAGCCTGGAGCAAAAAATTATTGTTATTACTACATCAAAGAAGCGTTAGAAAAATGTTTGGCAGTAGTAAAAAATGGTTTATCCGTTTGGAGAGCGTCAAAAAAGTTCGGAATTCACCGAAACACAATTTCGAACAAAATTCATGCGAAGCATTCGAAATCTCACGGTGAATCTTATTTTTCCTTTTCATATTGTTATTTTGCATTTTAATTTCCATATGTTAATTATTTAAGACATTTAATTATTTAAGACATTTAATAAAGATAATGTTAATAAGAGAGGATCATTCCGAGTTCCACCCTGCTAATAACATGTAGGACCACCTTCAGCCCTCAAAACTGCTGGCACCCGCCGTGGCACTGATTCCACAAGGCCACTGATTCCACTGATAGGTAGTCTGAGGTATCTGGTACCAAGCACTCACCAACTGGTCCGGCAATTCCCTCACATTGCGAGGGCGTAGCGTGGCAGCACGAATTTGGTTTTCCAAGTAGGACCACAAATGCTCTATTGGATTAAGGTCAGGTGAATTTGGGGGGCAAGACATGACTTGAAAGTCACTGGAATATTCTTCGAACCAATCCATGACAATTTGACCCTTATGACATGGTGCATTATCCTGTTGGTAAACACCTTCCCTCGCAGGAAAAACTGTTGCCATGAATGGGTGAACCTGGTCTGCAATTATGTTCAAGTAGCTTACAGACGTCAGGAATTGTACTATGAGGATTAATGATGGGTCCTAATGTGCCCATGCAAACATTGATCCTGGCTGAGAAAACATGAAAACCTGGGCGAGAGCCCATTGTTATAGATGGAGGGTGGTCATAATGTAATGGCTCTTCGGTTCAAAAAGAAGATAAAACAAAGGAAAATTACAGACATATGAAGAAATGGGGAAAAAGAAAAATAATAATAAATAAAAATAACAAACAACTGGGGGGGAAATAAAAAAATCCGAAAAAAAGCCATTTCCATTAAAAGATTTTAACATAATTAAAAGCTTTAAATATAATAAATCTCCTGGTAGAACTATATTTAATTATAATGATATAAGCAAAAATTTAGGGAGTAGTAATATATCCGATTATGAATGTCACTGTGAGGAAGAGAAATATTTTGATTTTGTTGATAAACATCATAAACATATTATTACTGGTAATTTAAATATTATAGAAAACTTGTTATCTCA